CTCTCCGAATCGACCGATTCTAACCCCGTGTGCTCTTATCATATGAACACCGCATTTTCTTGTTGATATCTCCCTAACCATTTCTGATACAACACTCAAGAAATGCCTGCTAATATCCATCCGTAGACGAATGAAAGTACTTGAACTTGGTATGCGGAACACGACCATAAAAACTCATAGAGAGGATCGCAGCAGTACTTATGTGCGGCACCTTAGTGACTGCCTGTTTGGAATAAATCGCAGGTTGAACAAATTTGTTCAAAAATACGGAGGAAGGGAAAGAAATCAGACCTGGTACAGAGAAATTTATACTCGACATATGTAGCTCATATTTATTGACAGATAATGGGACACTCGGTCTGCGAAGCGCGGCCTGTAATTTCCATCAACGTAGACGATTGTTCAACGGTCTCATTGATCCTGCGCTTTGTCAGAAATTTTATTATGATTCATGCTATGAATCCTTTCTGGTATTTATCCTCAGGTAAAAACGAAGACTCGGACTTCGTGTTCAGAGCAGTCTTCTTTCGAGTTGAATCAATCCATCAACATGTACAACCTTTGCACAGCCTTCCAACACCAACGTCACTTGAACGTCACTGACTTTTCGAAGATTTTCTTTTGCTAGCCTCGGTTCTGAAGAAGAGAAACGCTGGTCATCTTCATCAGAAGAGAACTGTTTCCTCTCACATGCAGCTCGGTGGGATCATCCTCCCCTCCGAACTTGAGCGCGCAGTCTTTGAGACTGCAGCATTTCTTGACTACAACCACATCCCAAGGTTGCTGCTAGTGGCGCACAGAGTTCACACATGGTAACGGTTCCGCGTATACTTTTTCTGCTCATCTTTTACCCCATTCCTCAGGCTGGAGCCGCTGTTGTATCATGTTCTTATTTGTGGTACCTTCAAGCCGCATCGCCTACAGGCCATCTTGGATAGAAAATCACTAGAATCGACGGATTTTGTCGAGCGTCATGTCCGACATCTCCTCTTTACGGGAGGCTTCTCAAGTACCGAAAAAACCCTCAGTGTATGCTCTGGAGCCACGGATATAGCATTCTTCTCATATGTCGGGCCCGCGTACCTGCCCCACCTCGAGCGCATCCGCCCCACCCGATTGAGTATCAACATCAGCCAGCTATTCGGGGGCTCTCCCGCCTTTTCTTCCTCCATGTTCAGCAACATCACACATCTCGATATTTCGGACGGCACGATCCCCAAGTCCGCTGAATCTCTGTGGAATGGCGTCACGTCACTCCCACACCTCACCCACCTGTCGTTCAACTGCTCCGACCGACTTCCTGACGGGTTCCTGCACATGATTCTTGACGAGTGCAAGATCCTAGACGCGCTGATCATCTTGGTGCAGGTGTTTGAGTTCACGGAGCTTGAAGGAGCCACACCACACCCTCCTGTGTTCCCGATACACGACGTGCGGTTCGTGATCGCTTGTTGCATCGATTTTACCGAGGACTGGGTTGCTGGGGCGTGGGGGCGCGACGACTTTTGGCTGCAGGCGGACAATTTTATCCGCCTGAAACGGAGCGGGGATATTCCCAGTGAGTTGGTTGTAGCTTCCGGTGTACCCGCGACAATCTTCCTGACATGCTCTTCGAAGAAGAACGCTGCTGCATGACATATATAGAGTTCGTGAATGTCTAGTACAATGTCACGCCCCGCGGATGAGCCTCTGCTTCCCAGATAGCTAGCTGGTCAAAGCTTTTTTGAGGCTTTGATGACTCAATACGAACTCGGGAGACGGATGTTATTGAGCTACCGGTGTCGGGGGTATACGCTGGCATATTGGGACAACCTGGCCAGCCCAGTGAAACACTGAGCGGAAAAGACCTGCAACAAAATTCTCGTTCCGTTTAACAATTCTGGACCGAACCTTCCATTCGTTGAGCCCAAGTCGAATTTTTTCGAAGCGGGTGACCACTTCAGTCATCTTGGGCCGCGCCTGGGGATCGTCCTGGCACATATCATCTACCAGCTCCTTCATGAAGTCGAACCCCTTTTTTCCTGGTTCGTATTTCGAGCCCTAGAATATTTAAATTGAATGGAGGGAATGTCCTTGAAATGTTTCTCACCTGCGTGAAATATTCGCGGACGACATTTCCGAGGCAGTAGACATCAACAAGAAATGGATCACATAATTCACCGGTCCGAAATTCGGGAACCGTCTTGTCACCACCCCATCCTGGGAGCTCAAGATGAGGCCCAACATCTTCATATCGACGTGATAATCCGAAATCAATCATGAAGTACTTGACTGGAGTCCGTGTACGCGTGGACATCGTCCGTGGGGGGCCCTTGAAATCTCTGCGCTTCTTTGGGCTCCATGGGTGAGGGGGATGGCTATAAAGAGCCTTGGAGTCGACCATGAAACTGTCATATTTGCAGTCCCTGATGGAAATTCAAGTTGGCATGTGTAGAGTAGTCGGTAAGAAAGAAAGACTTGCCCGTGGGCGACGTTGTGTTCGTACAAGAACTGCACACCCTAACAAGTAAATATAGTGAGAAATGGGAAGAGACGGAGAGGTTCAAACGCACATCGAATATCTGCCTGAAGCATTCGACCGCCTCCCCGATTGTATCAAACTGGGGCGACTCCATGGTGTATAATAGAGGCATGACGAGTATAATTGTTGAAGTCAATTCGGGCACAGACATTGCCTCATAGACGGGGACACAGTGGTTCCGAGGATCGGCGACAAACAATTCGGAGGAGAAAAACTGGGTAATTTTCACTTCCTGGGGATGCCGTTCCGGGTCGCATACTTTGAGCATTACATGAGATTTATCTGAAATTCGGGTGGCATCCAGTAGATGAACCCACTGGTTGTCCGGCCAATTAGGTCTTTGCTCTGCTGCCCACAAAAGCATGCTCACAGAAGTAAGAATACTGTCTTCAGCCGCCCATTCTTGCGTTCTCGTCGTCTTCCACGACGGTACCCAATCCGGCTGATAGCGAGGTCGCAGGAGATAGCCACGCTCAGCCAACCAGGGTCGGTAGTCTCTCCAAAAATACTCTCGAGAAGAGAGCTCGTCTATCTCTGTCTCTTCCACAAGTCGCGGAAGGTAACGCTCCGTGAAGGAAGACATGCAGTGGAAGGTTGGCCAAGGACCCACAGGCATCTAAACCGCATACTTATCTCTTGTGGCCTCAGCGTCAATCACAACCATCCGGGTCTCCCCGGTCAAAAGTTGATCCGAGTTTTCTTTTCTCCTCACGCCCTGCCCCAGCGCGACCAGCTCAAATGGCGGCTGACATATTCGCTGTCTCGTTTTCGCCCCTCTCAATCTATATCCGACAGCTCCCACCGAAAGGCAAGACAAACGGTCAGCCTCCTCTTCATTTTGCTCCGTTCCACCACCACCTCCGACAGTGCTCTTCTCAAAACCACTACAATGGCGCCGATCTCCACTATAATCACTCGCAACGCTACCCCTCGTGCCCCCCGCGCTTTCGGTCGGTCCGAATGGACGACGCTCATCGTTTTCTTTGCTATTTTTGTTGCCGTGTTTGTTGGCTTCCGGATTTCTTTCAGGCTATCGACTTGCTGGAAAGCAGGGAATACCGTCGACGTCGAGGTACGTCTTGTCACTCCCTCATCATTCACTTCTTTGACCTTCACTTGCAGACTGCCGTCGCCCCGACGCCGTCCTCGCCGATCAAGAGCTTCACTGTCCCGAGTATCGACCATGCCCCCTTCCGCCCGAGTACGGCCCACTTAAATACTACTCGCCGCTCTGCGTCATTTCCGGCTTGTTCGCCCTATTTTCTACACATCTACTCCGCGGCAGAACACGCGCGCAAGCACCCCCGCTGTCTGTACACCCGCCCACCTCCGTCGCCGCTCCGCCAAGTCATAAACGCGGAGCCGCCCGCCGTAAGCGTGCCTCCCCCCGCAAGACGCCAGTACAAGCAGCGGACGTACGCCGTCGGGCGCCAGGGAAGCGCAAACGCGGGCGCAGTGAAGGTTAAAAAGGCGTCCCACAACAAGGAGAACGCCTCCCCGTCCCTCCTCGAGATCTGGGATGCTAAGCGGTACCAGGGCTCTTACTAGGGGTTGGGCCTCCAAGTTAAACAGCATCATCGTTCTCAGTCCTAAGTTTTAACACCAGCAGTCGTTTTCACGGTTTGCCTCCGCTCCTATTTCCTACTCTCGGCCTCGGCCCCGGGCCACACTGTCCCACCCCCGGCCGTATTTTCTCCCGTCATCTTCGGTTTTTCACTCGGCGGACACTTAATTCCCTTATTCTCTCCTTCCCGCCTTCGCCTCTTTTCTGCGTTTTGGCCTCGGTCTTGTGATTCCTACCATAATCGTCTCCTTACACTCACCCCCCACCACCGCGCCGCCTAATACTGGAATCGACAACCTGCGGGTCTAATCAACCCTCGGGAACTTTTCTCCTTCCTCCTCCCCTCTGGCTCTCGGTTGCATTACTCAGCTTTTTCCCGGCCGCTTCTCCTCAAAAACAAAGACAAATACCCAAACTCGACCGTCAAAAAAATTCAAACTTCAACAAATACAAAACGAAATTCAACAGGGGGCGAACGATATGTAGAGGTGGGTCGGTGTATAGTCGTAAATGCGGATTTATATATGTACAGAATGATGAATTTGAAAATACTTCCTGTGGTGGTTCCCTCTTCCTCATGAATGCGAGGGAACATGGAGTTTTAAAGAATTCGTAATGAGGATAAAGGTGGACGTGGAGGTCCCGCTAAAGCACGAAAATTTGAATAATGAGAGTTTCAAGGCACATAAGTAGGCTACTGGAACCCGCTTGGCGTACAAAATTCCAAAATAATAGAAGGAATTTAGTTGCGACGCGGGGCTATAGCACGAAGGCAAAAAAAAAAGAGTAAAAGAACTTGTGAAGCGGGGAATCGAACCCCGCGCTACTGCAAACCGGCTTACATAGTGAAGGTCACAAAAAGTTGGAGTTCCGAGGAACATAAGCGTGCAGTGATGTAAACCCAAAATGAAAAAGTTCCGGTGCGGGGAGTCGAACCCCGCGCTACCGCGACCAGCTTACGTAAAATTGAGAGGCGGTAATGTTAGCCGATACACCACACCGGAGGTAAGAAAGGTTGGAGTTTGAGGTACATGATACATTCTGCGATTCAAAAACAAACTAGCATGTTCCAATTTTCTGTCCCTCATCCAAGTCTATGATGGAGTTAGTACAATTCTCCAACTTCCGCCCTTCCCTCACCAGGAAGCTCAGAAAATTGCAAGTCTGTCGTGGACTTCAAATTTCCATTCCCCCACCTCCCAAGAATGTCGGAAATTTTACAAGCCCATCGTGGACTTAGTGCAATTTATTGCCTGTGGCACGTACTCAGCCCCCCAAGGATTCTTCAAAATTTTCTCAAGTCCATCGTGGACTTAGTGCAACTTATTGCCTGCGGCGCACACCCAGCCCGGCCATCTTTCTGAACTGACACCAGAAAAGAAATACATTTGGTACCAGCCAGTCGCCCAAGCCAGAAATATAGATGGTCCCGGGAGTGGTTCCGTCACCGAGAAATACTCAAGAATTTTACAGCCTCTAGATAATAAATGCTTGCAACACGAATACAAAGACATTCGTGCTTGTCCAGGACACTCGTGCTTGATGGACATGAGTACAGTAATAAATACTTGTTGCTTGAAAGTACTTGGTACGAATACTACTAATCAGAGTTTGTCCAAGACAATCGTGCACTTATGACTATAAATACTTGCTACTTCAAACACACTGAATACGAACATGAAAAGGATACATACACGATTCGTGCTTGATGAACAAATGTGCAAATAAAAAAATGAAAATTGTATTGACGACCTTTTTTTTCAGTGAGTGTAATATTGTAGTATAAAGTTGTGCTGTAGTGCGCGGGAAGAAAAAGAACCCCCCCCGAAAAATAGGAGATCACGATGATACGATTGATACGACCGACTACGCTAACAAATAGCTCACGGGGGGCGTTGGACCCATGCAGGTAAGATTCCAGTGCACAGCCAAGTGTTATTCCGTTGAACTTACGAGACATAAATAGGGCCAGGGTGGGTTTCATTTATGTTGGCGTGTTGCATGGGTTTCCAAAGATACTTGGTGCTGATGTGTGAACCACCGGAGACAGAATACGGTTCGCGCAGAAACACACTTGAGATGGCCGAGACAGATCTTCAGATAAAAACAATATTGTGAACCGACATACCAAATCAAACGCGCTGGTCGGACATTCCTCCAATCCGCGGAGAGCGACTGCAAAAATTTAAATGAAAGAAAAGATGTAGAACGGTGTCGTTGACTTGCCGTGTGAAGCAGCCACAGTGAAGCACTGGTGGGCCCCGGCCCAGAATCAGAAGAATGGCTGTTCGTATGTCTGCGCTAACTTTTGTTGGGTGGAAGGAATGTGGTCAAGTGAGAAATACCGGGCCATTGAGTAGTAGAAAGAGCGAGAAGACCTCGCTCATACATACATGACGTTGGAGCAGACGTGCTGGACTAGTAAGAGCACACTGAATTATCTGAGAGCGCGCAGCCGTTGAATACACCCGAACGCAGAAAGACGTTGTCCGACTCGGCCGTTGAACGCGAGAATGGAGTGCGTGGAGTGGGATACTAGCGTCGTGTATCGTGGTACGAGGCCCAGCGGAGCACTGGCGGAATTGACGAAGGCTGCTTGCCGTGACCCGTCGCGCGAGATGGTAAAAGTAAGCACACCGCCAAATGCAAGATTTCAGGAGCCCTGTAATGTAACCTAATTTTGTAATTTCAGAAACAACATTAGGGGCAGTCAGAGTAGCCTTGAGAGGTGGTTCTGACGGCCGGTTCTGAGGACGGTTCTGAAACCGGTTCTTGATTTATTTAGCGTGGGAGAACCGTCGTTAATCAGAACCGGGTTCTGCATGCAGAACTAGCTCTGGAGCTAGTTCTGCAATGGTTCTGGTTCTGGTTCTGGTTCCAGTTCTCTGCGCTCAGTTCCACTTAATCATTTCTTTTAAATATCATTAAATACTAAATATATACTATAAAATATTTCCCATCTGCTAGGGAGTCGTGAGGCGAGGTCAAAACCAAGGCCTATGGCTCGGGATTAGCCAGGTATTAGACGGGCCATAGCATGCTTGCGTGGTAATTAAATAGCGCGGTTTAAATTTAATTTCAGCACCCCTTTTGGATGCGGAGGTAGGGCTGAACTATGACAGTTTTTCAATGTGCTGACTTCCATTTTGGGTAGGCGTAGCGATAGGATGATGGTAGGTGCACAGTGTACAGCTGGCAGAAGATATGAGACATAAATGAATGATTGATTGAGAACCGGCACTTTTCAAAATGGGCAGTCAAGATTGGAGGCCGGTTCTGGCCGGTTCTGATGCAAATCAATTGTCAGAACCGGTTTCAGAACCGGCCTCAGAACCGGCCCCAGAACTGCTTTTCCAGCCTACTCTGACTGCCCCTATTAAGTACACCCTAAAACGTACCTTAAATACTTTTTTTCAGGATGCTTGAAATTGAAGCTGAATACACTAGATTAAGTTACAACTTCAGGAGGTCTGAATCTTTGAATTTAAGTAACAATTTCTCAACAACTGAATTTGTACCTTAAATTATAAATTTCAGTTGCAGATTCAGCACGGGTGAAACTAATAATTTAAGGGTGTCCCGAAAACAATAGTTTCGGGCAGCATTTAAGTGCACCTGAAGCAATAAGATTAATGCACAGTTTCGGCCAGTGAAGGCCGAATGCGCCGCGATTTTTTTTAGCGAGGGTAAGAGGGACAACGCTGGCAAGGTCAAGCGAGTCAAAGTAGGCGACCACCTGCACCCGAACTTCTGGCGGAATGATCTTGACGGCGTAGCGTCTCCAAAGGGCGAAGAAAGTGCGCATGTAGCCTCGAATGGTGACGCGAGCGGCAGCTTCATCCAGTAGTCCTTGGGTTCCAGCGGCCATGAACAGAACAAATTTCTTCATGTTGCCTTGTGAAAAAGACGGTTCAGTGGCAGTTGGAACAAATGTAATTAAAACGGTGGTGAAAAAAATAACGAACCTTCAGAGACCAGCTCTACTCAGCGTTCGATATCTTGTGGCAAATTCAACTCCGGATACTCATCGGTGAAGTCCCGCCAAAGATTCTTGATCCGCAGATGGTGAGCGAGCGTGGGTTCGGTGAGTTTTTTGAAGTGGGTTATTCCGTCTAGGGGCGTAGCGAGGGCAGTTTTGAGTGTCAGATTGGACGCAGCGCTTTGGGCGACACGCTCCGTGGCGGTGAGTTGCTTTGAAGTCAAAAACGGCATTGGGTGGAGGATGGGATGTGGGGTGGGGGATGGGCAAGAAAAAGAGAAATTAATGCGTCAAGAAAGGTCAAGAAGTAGGATCCCAGTTCCAAGATATCGAGCACAAGAAGTGGGGATCAGGGAGAAAGGTTACCAGAACTCACATCTTATATAGAGTTATCGGAACAGACGTAAAAAATGGAGACACTGGAAAGGCGAGGCGCAAATCGCGGTCACGTGCGCCCGAATTGGCTTCATTCAGGCGCCAAAGTACGTATTAGCCTGTCTCGGTAACCCAGACGTTGAGAAATGATCGCGGCCTTCGGGCCTTCGGCCCGATCGGAGTTTTAATAAATACGTGAAAAAGTTGGGCCACGATCATTTCTCAACGTCTGGGGTATTTGGTATAGTAACACCCCCCATCGAGTCACACACCTCATCCCTCCCTTCGTCCCTCCACATTTAAACATTCAGATGTGTACATATGATGCATAGATGTATTCTGTTAGGCCTGGCACCTTTCCCCATTTTTTTCCTCCTCGTTTTGAGGTGGAAAGGAGCCGTTGCACATTGCCAGGGTTTTTCTGCTTTAGACACCTGCTGGTGTTTTAAAAACCTAAAATAAAATCATTGTGGTACCTGAGTATGTCTAGGTACTGTAGTAGAGTGGTTCTGAGAGCAATTGAGGAGTCCAGGGAGGCCCTTGGTTGAGCAGAACATTCAATCGGGGGAAGCGTGACACTCAGGGTGTGACTCGATGGGGGGCGTTGCTATACCAATTACCCCAGACGTTGAGAACTGATCGCGGTCCAACTTTTTCACGTATTTATTCAAACTCCGATCGGGCCGTAGGCCCAACGGGCCGCGATCAGTTCTCTACGTCTGGGTTACCGAGACAGCGTATTAGCTGCTTTGGGCTGACAGGAAGCTGCTTCGGGATGCTCGGTGAGAACCCGCGAAGCTGATGTGCTGAATTTTTTTTTTTTGTTCGGTTCAACGAGGTGTTGAAAATTCAACTCTGTGCGCTTGTTTGAATGAAAAAATCTACGTGAAGATATAGGAATTTTAATCGCAACCATTCCTGCTCCGGATTCACTGTAATCCAATGCGCGTTTATCCCTTGAGGTGCATTCCCGCAGGGTCTTCCATTCACCATGTGGCTTGTGTTTTTTCTCTCTCGCGCGCTCGGCTTCGAATATTATATTGCTCACTCAGCGCGTGTCATCTGGAGTTTGACAGCCTTCAACTAGAGTTTGCGAAGCCAGGACGCAAAGTAGAACTACGATGAATCCGATCCACAACAAAGCAGTGAAAGAATCATAAATAACTGGAGCTGTGTCGCTGCAAAACAATAACACTCGCGCATGGTGGCCAATGGTACCCAGGAAGGAAGAATTGTGCGCGATCTCGGTGGTCAATTAAAAAAGCCTCAACGTTAAGCGGATCAGGCTTCTTCCCCCCGGCGCTTCTGTCCCCGTTGGCACGGGATAAAATCTGACCGCGGAGTACTTTTAAATCGAGAGATGATTTCTTTTTTTTCTTTCCCGGTTGGAGGAATATTCCTGAATTCAACGCAGTAGAATACCGGAACTAGCGCTTTTACCCAGGGACGTGGAACGCGGTGGGATTGAAAAAGCGATGCGACCTGGCCGCGGTCGTAGTATGGTCTGGTCGTCGATCTTACGTACAAGAGAAAAGGAGTGAGTAATATATCGAGAATACGTTCCAAACTGCGAAAGGCGGGTGCAGTGTTCATGTATCGAACCATTGTGAGACGGCACTGGTACGAGGCCCGGCGGAGCACCGGCGGAAT